TGTGAATGAGAGTAGAGAGGAACTTCTATAAAGTTAAACAAAGCCTGCGTTCCGCTCGGTTCCTCTCTGCTTGTGGTTTGTTAAATGATTTGTTTTCTGTCATTATTAGTCCCATACAAATATGGAGAAAATACAGGAAAACATGTTTAAAGGAATAAACCTATTTACCATGTCTGAAGTCTTTGTGCACTGTGTACTCAGAACCAATCCTTTTCTGTTGCATCAGTGGTTTGGTAGGTATGCCAGCCACTTACAACCTTCACACTCTAATGGAAATAGATGTTAAGCAATGTATAATATACTTTCTGGTAACTATAGTACATATATTTTGTTCATCTCTGGATTTTTTTCTTTTTTTAAAGAACCTTTTTCTTCCTCTCCTTTCAATGGCCTTGTCCCTAACTTGCACAGTTGTTAAATAGCTTCAGTTCAGTTGACTTTTTTACCTGAATGTAAACTGCATTTACATATATTATGTGTGTCTGATTAACACCTTTCTTTTATAAAAATAAAAAATTTAAGTTTTACAGAACTAGCCTGAAAGCAATTATCTGTAGGAAAAGATAATTAAGATTAATCATAATTAAGATTCTACTTAGTATATTCATGGGATCATGCACAAACTTAATACCTGATTTGAAAGGATTTAAGTTCTCATTTATTTTGCTGTTCTGAAAAAGGATTTCAGCTTGGAGTGATGTAAAGCGAGTGGAAGACCCATCTGTAGAGAACAGTAATTCATGCAATGGCACATCCAGTGCTAGAATATTTATCAGTGATGAAGATATTCCATATACCTAACCGTCTGTATTATGTTGTTTTCATCCTGTAACCTGTTGTTATGCTTTATGACTCTGCATGTAATTTTTCATCTCAACGGCCCTTTCAGCAATGCCATACAAGAGATGTAGAGAAAATATATGGTTACTTTTGACAAAAAGGGGCAAGGGTATGTTTCATCAGAATGAAGACAATTTAAGCTTTTACATGCAGGGGTAGAACTGTGAAGAAGCAGTAGACAGGAGGAAAAATTGACTTTCCTTTTGAATACGTTCATATTGCAGACTGCAAAGCAGACTGACTACAATAAAAATGAGGGAATACTAAAGAGGAATTACCTAAGCATTATGAGATACAGTGAAGGAATTTTGTAGCTTGAGATGAAAATAACGAAGTCATTACAATAAATCCATCTATTATTTGCCAATCTATTACTTGGATATAGAGCAATCTAAAGAGGTGTGGTGATCCCATTCGTGTTCATTGTGAAGCTGGGTCTAGCGGAGTCTGTCTGGGAGGCTGTTTATCTCAACAGTTTAGAAATTGTGGGACTTCTCCTGTAGCGCTTCATCCCCAGTACATCTTTTGTAGAAATGCAGCTCTTTTCCCTTTGTTGATCTGTTCCCATTTAACAGGCAACTGTTGGTAGGTGGAAGAGGAATGTACCTACCTGCTTTGAAATACTGGCACTCTAGGGGAGTAGTACAGGGAATGGGCAATTTCTCAGTTTGTATGACTGCAGGAATTGTGATTTACATTATACTTAGTCGTATAGTTTCGTGCTTTCCTTCTTTGTATCTACATAAGGTACAGTTTAACTTGAATTTGTGTGAAAGTCTTGCTTTTCTCTCCTGTACTAACTTATGTTGAAAATCTAGAGTGCAGAGAAACTGTAACAGATTCTGGTAGTGGATTGGAGAGAAATCCAGGAGTCCCACTAGCAAGACGAGAGCATGCTGGCCATATGGCACAAAGCACTGAGCTAGCAAAAATTCAATAGTGTCCGTTGAGATGTATTCAGGAGGTGATGACATGTTAATTTTGAGAAGGTAGGCTTTTTGCTAGTTCAGACTTCACTTGTCCTCCTGCAGCTGCTAGAAAGTCCCATCCAATTTGTTTTATGCTGTGAGCGTGTGATTTTTTAATTATTTTTTTTCAGCTGGGTGGCTAACTTTAGTGCCTATGTGAATCAGGGAACTGATTCTGCTGACAACTTGTAGTTGTATCAGGTCTTTTGTAATTGGTTGGCAGGACTCAGAGAAGCTGTCACTGGCACAAGAGTGCCAATGCATAGATTTGGGGAGCTAGAGAGAAAAGAGCAGGTCCGTCCTTTTCAACAGTAGCATCTGAAGTGAAGATTAGTGTAAGTTAGTAAGGCTGTTCTGGGAACAAGGAGGTGTGCCTATGCCCATTCAAGTTTATGCTGTTGTATGTTGCCAAGGAGGGCAGATCTTGGGCTGGTACATTAGGATCCATAGTATTAGAGCCAGGTAGTTTAGTCTGAAACTGGCAACGTTTTATGGGTATCTGTCTTCGTTGTTAGTATAAAACCACCAAAGCACCTGCACAGTAGACAGCAATACCCTAATCAGCAAAAGGAGGATGGTAAAATGTTTGCTTCGTTCTGCCCCTTTAGATAGCAAAGACAGTTGTTGTCACACTGTGCACTATTTACTACAAATCCAATTAGTTTCATAGTCTAAAATTAATCAGCTGAAGTTGTTTATCCTGCTGATTACTCTCATCCTTTCATTTCTTAGAGCTTCAGAAGGTGTTCATAATAGGTTAAATGATCCAAGAGTCACTGTACAGTCATTGTACACTGTCAGCTGTACAGTTACAGCTGATACATGGACTCAGCGCCACTTTCTGAACCTCTGCATGAGGCTAATAGGAAGAAAAATTTATTTCAGTTTGTAAACCAGAACTCGCGGCACAGAAGATTGCTGGATGTTATTGCTTGCTCTACAGCAGGATATTCAAGAGGAATTGAAAGAAATAATGGGCTTAGGTTTGAAACTAGTTTTTACTGCCTTTGTGGGCATTAAAAGAGGTGCCTCAGTAAGGAAAAATGCATGAGAGAGATCAATTTTTCCATTTGCATTTGTAGCATCCAATAAATATATATTTGTAGTAATAAAATGGATTAATCAAGAATGTTTCCCCTAAGGCTTGAGAGGCAGCTTTTTTTATCTCTTCTTAATAACAAAATACTAATAATAAAGAAGTTAGACCAAACCAAGTGTTTGTATTGAGGCAATTTCCAAGATTTGCTTCGTTCTCATTTTAAAGCTTGTGAAAACAAAAACTTGTCATTTACTAAGGGGATATTGAATGACCAGCCTTAGTTTGGGTTAACTTGTAACAGTGGTTCACAAATAATTGACTTGGGGCCAGCAATTGCCTTCAGCATGCTGTAAATGCTATCAATTTGGTTTAAAATGGTTGTTAAAGTATCCTGAATGATTTCATAACAGTGCTTTTCTGTGAAGCTCATTACTGTGATTGCTGCAGAAATGATGGGTGATTACTAATGGCACTCTTGAATAGGAGTGGAAATTAAGGAGAAGGTAACCTTATAGGTAAAGTCTGCACCATACCAGTAGAAGACCTTACATTCTGCCATCCAGACTGTAGGTGTTCTTTTGAGTTTGCAGAAATCCTACTGATATTGTTTGTGAGCTTGAGAGGTGATCCAGAGTTGTCCTCTTAAAATCACATTGCCAGGTTACCTGCCTTTTTTTTTTTTTTTGAATGGCTTGTCCTCTCTCATTAATAAAATAAAAGTACTGTGCTGTCTGCTGCTCTTTTGGACATAGTCCCTTGCTGTGACAGTGAACAGAATGGACATCCAGCTATGAAGCAGAAACTCTATTTGTACATGTATTGGTTTGATCAAAGTTACATAATTACTGCTTTTGTTGGGCATTAATCATTCTTGAATAGGGGTCTTTGAAGGAGAGAAAAATGTGAATCTTCTTATGACACAAAGCCAAATCTTTTTAATAGTCAAAGTAACAGTCTAAGAATGGCGGTGTTGTTTGTTCCCACCAAATTGCCTCTTCTGAACTGTTATGCAAGCCTAAGTTCTGCTTGATGTGCAGTCCTAATTATTCAGGAGATACACATCTCTGTCTTCTCTTTTCTAAAAATAGGCAGTCACTGTAGCATATGCTGTTCTGAGAACTATAACAAGAGTAGTTTTGTGTACTTGAACCCTTTCTTACATAATTCCCACTCCTGAAATGCTTTTGTTCACGTGTTGAAGTAGCTCTGACCGTGAAATTTCTGGTGTTCTTTGCTTCAACTGAGACAGTCTCTCGCTTGTTTGGTGGGTGGGAGGTAAAACCTGAAAACCGGCACCCAAATGGTGTCTTCAAACTGGTGAAAATGCACCGGGCCAAGAGATACTCCCTTCCTGATGGCCTTCTTGCCCTTCCTACTGGTTTGTTTTCTTTATTCACCCCTTCCATCTTTTTTTAAGAATTCCTTTCTCAACTAATTTCTTATTTTGACCCAGTTCTGCCATTTTTTTTAATCCATCCAGGAAGTTTGTCTAGTCAGCGTGAGAAAGTTTCAGAGATGGTCTGAGGTGCCATATATAGACTATATCTAGCACAATTTGGCACTGTCCTTTTGAATGCTTCTCTCCCCTGCAAGCCCTTTTCGTTGAATTTAAGACATTTCACTCTATGCATGTAGATTTTTATGTAGAGATCTTTCTTCCTCAGCACTTTTGTTTCTGGATTCCCCCAGTTAAAGCACCTCTTGCACTGACTGTTAAGCTGAACTTGATACATTCATTTGTGTCCAGAACCTGCATTTAAACCATCAGCCTGCGGTGTGCTGCCTCGGTATGCATGTACAATTTGTGACTCTTTTGCAGAAGATAACGCGTGCTGTTTCAAACTCCTGAAGCAGTTTGAATGTCCATTTAGATCGGAAATGTCTTAAGTTAGAACCCAATGCCTAAATCATTTGGGCAATTTGAAAAGTCTTAGTCTGTACAACCAGAGAATTGAATTTTGTAGCTTTCGCTACAACATAGTGTTTCTTCTAAATCTTTTCATTGAAAAGCAGTCATCTCTCTGAGGTCTAAGAGGTAAAGACAACGATGGTGTTATTATGAAAATGATTAAGAGTTTAACGTATATATTACTGATAAACAACAGAAATTTATGTTTATCAAACTTATTCCTGAATTCTTACTTTCTATGCAGACTGCATCTTCAGCTATTAAAGGTGCTATCCAGCTGGGAATAGGATACACAGTAGGAAACCTTACATCAAAACCGGACAGAGATGTTCTTATGCAAGACTTCTATGTAGTGGAAAGTGTCTTCCTACCAAGGTAAGGACAAGCCTATTCAAATTATTTTCAATAGAATTTCATAGTGAAACTGTTAATTAAATATTTCAAACAAGGATTGTTTTCCAGTTCTAACAAAACAGGGCTAGAGTAAGTTTAATGTATGAGAACTTTAAAATTATCCTGTCTTCATGTTGTCATTGAAAGTGAAGGTAGGGAGAAAACTGGGAAGATCACACTTCAACTGAAGATTCGAGACTTGTCACTTCTAGAGAAGAAAAGTAATTGTGACACTTTTGATTAAAGGAGCTGTTAATTACAATTGGAAGTTATTTGTGGATCTGCATGCAATGAAGTATTATGTCCACATTCACATCTGTAGTTAAGTTTTTAAAAACTTAGACTAATACTGGACATTTTGTTGAGGTAAAGTTGAAGTCCTGCAGTGTTAGGAGTAATATGAGCATTTACATTATTCTGTAAAATTCTAGCCAGGACTTTAACCTGTGATGAGGCTTCGCTCTTACTAGCTGACTACAAGTTGTGCACCATTACTGCTGTGCATTTGGCCACTTCAGCTTGTGTTGCTGCCAAGCTGATGGTGTAGGGTTTGTAACAATGCAGTTAACGCTGGTGAGAGAAATCAATGTCATACTCATTTGGGGGTTTCAGAAGCTTAATACAGTGCCATGTAATTTCTCCAAGTGACGTGCCAAGCTAGGAATGAAGGAAGAAGGTTTAGGAAAAATATGTTTCAAAACCAGGATGACTTGCTCTGTTCAGTGTTCTCTGGGTTCTTAGAAATGCGAAGTAACAGTAGTGCCCATCATTTCATAGAATCACAGAATCATAGAATGGTTTGAGTTGGAAGGGACCTTAAAGATTATTTAGTTCCAACCCCCCTGCCATGGGCAGGGACACCCTCCACTGGATCACATTGCTCAAAGCCTCCTCCAACCTGGCCTTGAACAACTCCCGGGATGGGGCAGCCACAACTTCTCTGGGCAACCTGTTCCCGTGCCTCACCACCCTCTGAGTGAAAAATTTCTTCCTTACATCTAGTCTAAATCTCCCCTCTTTCAGTTTAAAGCCGTTGCCCCTTGTCTTATCACTACACACCCTTGTAAAAAGTCCCTCTCCAGCTTTCTTGTAGGCCCCCTTTAGGTTAGAATATTCCCCCAGAGCCTTCTTTTCTCCAGCCTGAACAGCCCCAACTTTCTCAGCCTGTCTTCATAGCAGAGGTGCTGCAGCCTTTGGAACATCTTCGTGGCCCTCCTCTGGACTCACTCCAGCAGCTCCATGTCCTTCTTGTGTTGGGGATCCCAAAGCTGAATGCAGTGCTCCAGATGGGGTTTCAGAGTAGAGGGGCAGAATCACTTCCCTCGACCTGCTGGCCATGCTTCTTTTCATGCAGCCCAGGAGATGATTGGCTTTCTGGACTGCAAGCACACATCAGTTATCTTTTCTTCTCTCCTTCCAACTGCAATCAGTGACATTAGAAGAAACAGACATGCCCAGTCTATCAATACATGGCTCTGCGGCTGGTGTCATCACCACAATTTTATTTTCTTGACAATGGGGTGGCCTACAGGGCACCAGGCTTGCTGTCACCAGGTGGGTTTCACCTTTCTCAAAGGGGAATGAGGGTCTTTGCACATCAGCTGGCAGGGCTCATTGACAGGGCTTTAAACTAGATTTGAAGGGGAATGAGGATTACATCAAGCTTGATGAAAACAAGCTGAGAGCACCTGAAGAGCAGCAGAATGGAATTCCAGACACTCCAGCCAGTAAGTTAGATCTATCTGGGACCCAACTTAAATGCCTCTACGCATGCGTGCGTAGATGGGGAATAAACAAGAGTAGTTAGAGGTGTGCACACTCCTGCAGAGTTATGATCTTACTGGCATCACGGAGATGTGGTGGGATGAATCCTATGACTGAAGTGTCAGAATGGAAGGATACAGGCTCAGAAGGAAGGATAGTCGGGAGACAAGGAGGAGGTGTCACCCTCTGTGTCAAAGACCAGCTGGAGTGCATGGAGCTCCACCTGGGGATGGATGAGGAGCTGACCAAGAGCTTATGAGTCAGGATTAAAGGGAGGGCAGGGACAGGTGACATTACAGTGGCGGTCTGCTACAGGCCACCTGACCAGGAAGACCGAGTAGACGAGGTCCTCTACAGACAGATAGAAGCAGCCTCACCTTCACGAGCCCTGGTCATCATGGTGGACTTCAGCCACCCCGATATCTATTGGAGAGACAACACAGCAGAGCAGAAGCAATCCAAGAGGTTCCTGGAATACATTGATGAGAACATCCTTCTCCAAGTGACAGAGAAACCAACAAAGAGAAGGTGCTATGCTGGACCTTGTTCTCACCAACAAGGAGGGGCTGGTGAGGAATGTGATGCTCAAGGGCAGCCCTGGCTGTAATGACCATGAAATGGTGGCATTCAAGATCCTTAGGGCAGCAAGGAGGGCACACAGCAAGCTCACTACCCTGGATTTCAGGAGAGCAGACTTTGGCCTCTTCAGGAATCTGCTTGGTAGAGTGCCATGGGAGAAAGCCCTGGAGGGAAGAGGGGCCCTAAAAGCTGGTTAATAGTGAAGGATCACCTCCTCCAAGCTCAGGAATGATGCATCCCAACAAAGAAGTCAGGAAAAAAAGCCAGGAAGCCTGCATGGATGAACAAGGAGCACCTGGACAAATTCAAGCACAAAAAGGAAGCCTACAGAAGGTGGAAGCAAGGACAGATAGCCTGGGAGGAATACAGAGAAATTGTCCAAGCAGCTAGTGATCAGATTAGGAAAGCTAAAGCTCCAATAGAATTGAATCTGGCCAGGGACATCAAGGGCAACAAGAAAAGCTTATGTAGGTATGTCGGTGATAAAATGAGGTCGAAGGAAAATGTGGTCACTCTCTGGAAGAAAACAGGAGACCTGGTCACCCAGGATATGGAGAAGGCTGAGGTACTCAATGACTTCTTTGCCTCAGTCTTCACTGGCAAGTGCTCTAGCCGGACTGCCCAAGTCACAGGAAGCAAAGACAGGGACTGGGAGAATGAAGAACTGCCCACAGTAGGAGAAGATCAGTTTTGAGACCATCTAAGGAACCTGAAAGTGCAGCAGTCCCTGGGACCTGATGAGGTGCATCAGTGGGTCCTGAGGAAAACAGCAGGTGAAGTTGCTAAGCCACTATCCATCATATTTGAGAAGTCATGGCAGTCTGGTGAAGTTCCCACTGACTGGAAAAGGGGAAACATAGCCCTCATTTTTAAAAAGGGAAAAAAGAAAGACTTGGGGAACTACAAGCCAGTCAGTCTCACCTCTGTACCCAGCAAGATCATGGAGCAGATCCTCCTGGCAACTATGCTAAGGCACATGGGAAATGTGGAGGTGACTTGTGACAGCTAATGTGGCTTCACTAAGGTCAAATCATGCCTGAAAAACGTGATGACCTTCTACAATGGGGTTACAGTGTTGATGGATTAGGGAAGAGCAAGTGACATCAGCCACCTGGACTTGTCCAAAGTGTTTGTCACTGGTCCCGCACAACATCCTTGTCTCTAAATTGGAGAGACATAACTGGGTGAATGGACCATTCAGTGGATAAGGAATTGACTGGGTGGCTGCGCTCAAAGCAACCAACGGCTTCATTTCTAAGTAGAGACCAGTGACGAGTGGTGTGCCTCAGGGGTCAGTACTGGGGCCAGTGCTATTTACCATCTTTGTTGGCCACAATGAACAGTGGGATCAAGTGCACCCTCAGCAAGTTTGCAGATGATAACAAGCTGGTGGTGTGGTTGACATGCTGGAGGGAAGAGATGCCATCCAGAGGGACCTTGACAGGCTGGAGAGGTGGGCCTGTGAGAACCTCATGAAGTTCAGCAAGGCCAAGTGCAAGGTCCTGCACATGGGTCAGGGCAATCCCAAGCACAAGTACAGGCTGGGCAGAGAATGGATTGAGAGCAGCCTGAAGGAGAAAGACTTGGCGACGATGGTTGATGACAAGCTCAACATAAGCCCACAGTGTGTACTTGAAGCCCAGAAAACCAGCTGTCTCCTGAGCTGCATCCAAAGCAGTGTGAGCAGCAGGTCGAGGGAGGAGATTCTGCCCCTTTGCTCTGCTCTGCTCTCGTGAGACCCCACCTGGAATAGTGCATTCAGCTCTGGAGTCCCTGACACAAGAAGGACATGGAGCTGCTGGAGCGAGTCCAGAGGAGGGCCACAAAGATGTTCCAAGGGCAGGAGCACCTCTGCTATGAAGACAGGCTGAGGGAGTTGGGGCTGTTCAGCCTGGAGAAGAGAAGGCTCCGGGGTGATCTTCTAGCAGCCTTCCAGTACCTAAAGGGACTACAAGAAAGCTGGAGAGGGGCTTTGGACAAGAGCATGTAGTGATAAGACAAGGGGCAATGGCTTTAAACTGAAAGAGGGCAGATTTAGATTAGATCTAAGGAAGAAATTTTTCACTGTGAGAGTGATGAGGCCCTGGAACAGGTTGCCCAGAGAAGTTGTGGCTGCCCCATCCCTGGAAGTGTTCAAGGCCAGGTTGGATGAGGCTTTGGGCAACCTGGTGTAGTGGAGGGTGTCCCTGCCCATGGCAGGGGTTTGGAACTAGATGATCTTTAAGGTCCCTTCCAGCCCAAACCATTCTGTGATTCTATGATTGCCGGCTCATGTTGAGCTTCTCATCAGCCAACACGCCAAAGTCCTTCTCCTCAGGGCTACTCTCAATCTATTGAAATTGAGTACAGGCTTAGCCTCTACTTGTGCTTGATATTACCTCACATGTGAGCAGGACCTTGCACTTGGCCTTTTTGAACTTCATGAGGTTCTCACAGGCCCACCTCTCCAGCCTGTCAAGGTCCCTCTGGATGGCATCCCTTCCCTCCCGTGTGTCCACAGCACCACACAGCTTGGTGTCATCTGCAAACTTGCTGAGGGTGCACTCGATCCCACTGTCCATGTGTCCGACAAAGATGTTAGACTGCACTGGACCCAATACTGACCTCTGAGGAATGCCACTCGCAGTTACCGTAAGGAC